AAACCCCAAATGACAAGATCTAAAGAACTGGATAGCAAGATTGTAACTTTATACTTACAATAGTCTAGAAATGTAGTGCCTTTGATGGATCGAAACTTGAAACAACTTTCATTGAAACCAAAAGAACCTTCTTGATCTTCAATGTTCATCAACATATCATATAAAGCATCCAAAAGAGTGGAGAAGCTCAAATCTTGAAGGTGGAGGCTAGGGTTTCTCCCAAGGGTTCCTACAGGTGATGGAGACTGATAAAATGTCCAAAAATACGGAACACTAAGCTTAAATACGTTGGAAACCCTAAAAATCATGGGCTTGGGCCTGACTGATTGGGGGCAAACCGTGGGATCTGATCCCCACGTTGTGGCCACGACTTTTCACTTAAATCCATTCCAGCTTCAAACAACCATAATTTCTTCGTTTCAACTCTGTTTTTGGCGATATTTATATCCACGGAAAGGTATTGACAAGTACCAAACTTCTATCTAGTTACTTTTGGCTTAACACATATCGATCTAAAAACCATAATCCATGCAAGGCGCCCAACAATTAACTTTTCCCATGTATGTGTGTATGAATGTGTGTGTGTGTGTGTGCGCTTAATTGTAGAAATTGCATCACAAAACACCATAAGGATTGTCAAGCTGATGTGGCTGAAAAATATTAAAAATTTGAGAAACCAAACTGTACAATTAACTATGTTAGTCAAAATTGTTTTCTATTTTAACATTGTTAAATTGAGTTTACCAGGCACAAATATAAATTAACCATCATTACAGACATACAGTAAGGCCACTACTATAAAATATGATAAATAACACTAATTTTTTTTGTTCATGACGTCAAATAGTGTTTCAAGGATAAAATCAATATTAAATCGAGGTTTAATACTAAAAACTATAAAATAATCAAAAGTTTAATGCTATTTATTGATATTGAGTCAAGTAGAAAAAATAACTTTGACTTTTTGCCCTTCCAACTACAGTATAACCACTAAGATTGAAAACCTGATGTGGCTGAAAAACATTTAAAAAAACCGAACAATAAAATTATATGCAGATTTAATTGCTCACATAGACAAATACAAAATTATATAAAATGAAATTATATGTAGATTTAGTTGCACACATAGACCAATACATAATTATATAAAACCAAATTATATGTAATACATACAAGTATCAATTAGAAATAAATATATATATATATATATATATATATATATATATATATATATGAATTTTCCGCACTTTCGATTACAACTTAGCATTTTGTATTACATATATTGGCTTGTAGAATTAACACATATTACAGACGATGCAGCGAAAACATTACAAATATAGAATATATTTCGAATTCACACAGATTATATGAATGATATGGATCTTTTCATTGTATAAGATGATGAATATAAAATACTAACCTAATATTCGATAGTAATTTACTTTGAAGCAGTGAGATTTTGTTTCATAGTGATGAAAAAGTCACGGGAATTAGAGAATTGATGTGTATATAAAGGAAATTATGGTATGTATTTTACAAATGATGTGGGATGATATCAGTTTCTGTAAATATTGGATATGAAGATAATTTGAAATTTGAAAAACTAATAAAGCGTATAAACCGATATTTATTCACAATTAATTCCTTAAATGTTGGTTTTAGCCGTTTAATTTAGCATTGAAATAATGATTCAAAAAAACGTCCGTATATAGAGGGATTTATACCAAATATGTATGAGTATTTTTGTATTATTTAAAAACGCAGGAAATCATATATGTAGAGGAAGGGCAGCATGGTAAAATCACCGCCAAATTCTACAAGGAGAGGAATTACACGCGGATTAAGGAGTGTTTTATTAAAAAGGAAGATGTGGTTATACAAAATCGCACCAACATATTAAATGGTGCGGATATATATAGAAACCGCACCGAGTACATCTTTAAATACTGCAATACTTTTATTTAATGATGTGAAAACAGTTTTAGATGATTTAACCACATAGTAAAAAAATCTCATCGCACTATTAACCTATAGTATTTAAGAAAAATATATTTAGAAAGTCAATCATCCAATCGAACATGTCAATTAAAGAATTCATTTTTTAAGATAACCTAAAGATTCTAGACTTGAAACGTTCATAGGTTGTTCTCATAAGACGTCGATAACTTTAAGATTTTATATGTTAAATTCAAAATATTCACGGGCTGTCGTCAATTAAAACATGTCCTCAAACAGATAACAAAGTCTTTCACTCGTGGCACGTGGTTTCCCGAGTCATTGAAAGGAAAAAGAAACCTAGCAAAATTTTGTGCTAACTCCTCGTAAAAAAGTCATAGATGTATATTTTTTCTTCTAACTAATTGATAGAAACCACACACCAAAATCATCACTCTGCAGCTTCTAATCATTAGATACGGTCAAATACACGAAGCCAAAATCACCTTCTTTTCTTTCCTTTTCTATCCCTCTCACTATACACCATGCCCAATGCCCATATCCTTCTCTCTCTTTATATATATCCTTCATCAATGCACTTATAGTTATAGACATGCACATAGGCTAATAATATCCAAGTTGCAAGTGTCAATCTAAGCATAGTTCTAGTACCAAACAGCAAATCCAAAGATAAAACCTATAGATAATCCATATAAAGTAAGAGAGAGAGAGAGAGAGAGAGAGAGAGAGAGAGAGAGAGAGAGTTGAATATGCTGCATGCAAATCTCTGTGGAAAGGAAGAAAGCAGAAGTGGTCCTGAATTAGTGGAAGAGGAAGAAGATAGACAAGTATATGTAAGTAAATTGGTCCCTCATTCATAATTCAAGAGGGTACTGTCTCTTCCTACTGTTGCTTTCATACACCTCAACATGACTCCTTCCTTTTGTAATTATTATCTTCATACTCAAAAGCCCATAATTATAAGTTTCAATTAATTATGAATTTGACTTTCTTTTTCACTTATTGCATCCTTTATTTTCATAACTTACTACCCTATATAATCAATGTATCTGACTAGAAAATTGAAATTTGTTTATCACAACATCAATGTACTTAATTAATTTGATGCAATAATATATGGGTTGAGAACTACTTGAATTACACCAAGATTGGATTAATATAATAAAGGAATACCAAACAACTTCATACCCTTGCTACTTGCCAGGCTCACAAAAGCTTTTTAGTAGGTGTAAATATCTTAATTTCTATGTTTAAGGATTTTGTATATAATCAACAGATCTAGGAAATATTTATCGTCTGCCCAGAAGATGAGTTTGTAAATGTCATCATATATATCCACAGATTTTCTAATGTGTCATCACCATTGCATATATACATTACGATCATGTCATTTTCAATTGACTAATTGATATAGGAAACAAATTATTTGAATAACATTAATTTAATTTGAAGTTACGTAATGACAACAAGCGTGTAAATCACGAAACTAGACACAACCAAGATAAAAATAAATAATAATAATAATAACAAAGACCCATCCACATAAGATTATATAACATATTTTTGGAAATGTCACTATTTGAAGAAAAAATATTGTGGCTAGATTCTGTAAATCTACAAAAGTTTTACTTGTGATTTAATTTAAATTTTGTAAATTATGTTTAGTTAATTATTAAGATTGATATAGGATTGTGGCTAGTTTTTATAAAACAGATTAAGTAGAATAGACAACTAAACTGTTTCAACTAAATAAATAGTTTTTTAAAACATTAATTCTATAAAACTACAAAAGTTACAACTCTTTTATATGACATATATTATAATTAATCATATGGACTAGATATGTCACTAGAGAAAATATAATGACACACAATATAACCGGTTATTATAAGATAAATAAGTTCTCCCAAATATAACAGGCGTGCCTATCCATCTGTCTTTTGCACCATGTGATATACAAAACATCAATAAAACAATGCCCTAGCTTTAATTTGTAACTGCCGATAAAGCACTACACACAACTTTTCAATATGTTCAGAATGGTCCCATAAAAATAATTATGCTGCTTTTTCTTTCACTATTTTATCCCCACAAACCCTAGCTACATTTTTGCTCTTTTGTTAAAGAATGTAACTTAACCTTAAGAAGAGAAATTTGGGTATCTTGTTAACCATCCATCCAATCATATCTCAACCACATCCCACCATTAAATTAGCTGAAAGTAACAGTATTTTCATTTGGTTATTCTGGTTATACTTGTTAGGGATAATTTTGAGGTTTTAAGCTCGTAGTGAATGTTAGAAAGAGTGAAAGTGAGGATCATTTTTAACAAATTTGATTGATTTACTAATGGGTATTTCGTCATCAACATGATCGCGTGACGAAAATAATCTCCGATAAGATATTGACAGCTAAAGATGATGTCGAAGGAACGTACGACACGTGGCAGCATATGAGTCATTGCTTTTATCTTTACTAAAAACTCATTCCAATTGGCCATGGTTGGTTGAGTTGCAACATTCTGAAGCTCTCTCTACTCATTTCTGTCATAATTCTATCTAAACTCATGTCCTCTACAGTTAGGTTTTCTCTTTTAAGCAAGTACTTTTGAAATTATAGACTTTCTCTCTAGATTCGGCTAGAACAAGCTTGTTTTCAACTATAATAGCAAGCTAGTGAAGTTTAGTTCAAGAAATATAGCTGAATTTTGGAAAAAAGTACCTGAAATCTATGTCCAAGTAAGTTTTCTTCATATGTCTACCTGATCCATGTACTTTCTAGTGATTATTTATGCATATATTTCAGCTTCAGTTTCTTATTTTATGTGTGGTGTGCAAAGAACAATAAAAAGAAGCCATGGAGTACTCATAGTACTTAATGGGTACTTTGTTCTTCATCCTAATCAGGGTTAAAAGCTTTGATTTTTCGTGCTTTTCTGTCATTTATGAGTTTAATTATTAGTTTCTTTTCTGCTTTCAGAGACTTCTTCTTGAATCTTGAACCAAAAAAGGGGTAGCTTTTGCACCAGTTATGAGTCAAGAAAGATGAATATTTCAAATTTAAGAGAATCAAACCACGAAACCAAGCAAGAAGGATCTAGTGATGTCTGCAAGATTGTACCTAAACCAAACTTAACCACATCGTCATGGTCCAGATTGAAAGATCCAAGAATTGTTCGAGTTTCTAGAGCTTTTGGTGGAAAAGATCGACATAGTAAAGTTTGTACGGTTAGAGGGTTAAGAGATCGGCGAGTTAGACTCTCAGTTCCCACTGCTATCCAATTGTATGATCTTCAAGATCGTTTAGGACTCAACCAACCTAGTAAAGTTGTCGATTGGTTACTTGATGCAGCTAAACATGAAATCGATGAACTCCCTCCTCTCCAAATCCCACCAGGAAGCTTCGGACAAAATCTTCAAGCAATGCTAAGTGCTTGTTCACAATCTGAAGAGGTTAAAAGTAATGTTAATGGTCTGAATTGGGAGGATTACTGGAACCCTGATAAATCTAAAGCAACTGCACGAGACACCAGTGAAGATGGCGAAAAACTTGATCAAGAAGATGAAAGAAACAAGCATGATCATCATGGGACATTTGTTCAATCTAGTAATTTCTTCGGAAGAAACCCTAATTCTTCGAATTTACCAGGTTTGTTAAACAATGTCGTTCCAAATAGTTCTTTCCTCAAATGGGATCCTTCTAATTTGTCATTATCTCAATTTCATCATCAACATGGTGACAATGTTCATAACTTCAATATGAACGTATCAGCGTTACCCTCCATTCCGTCGGGATCTCAGGTTCTTCTGTATCCTCCACCACAACCACCGCCTCAAACACAGTCCTATTTCCCTTCACACAATCACAACTCCGGTGAGTTCGATCCAAAACAACTAAACTTCCAAATGCTCAGTTCTTCCTCAAGTTCTAATTTCACGCCACCTCTCTACACAATAAACCAAGGGATGCGACCGTTTCATTTAAGCATGAACCCTAAGTTTTTTTCTTCAGAAGATCATGGTGGGCATGAACCACACAAATGAGTGAAATCCTTTCTTGATGTTCATATTCTTGAAGCATCATTCGAACTTTGCAGGCATAAGAAGATACTACGTTCTTGAGTTCATTTGCTGCGTTTAACAATAACTAGAACCCGAAATGGATCAATCTTATTAAAATCAAGATGGTTTTATTTTTTGTTTTCGATTAAAAGTGTTGGTTAACCTTGCTTCATATATTAAACTCAAATTTTCATATGTATACTTTTATATATAGATATTGATATTGATTGATGCATGAAATAATTTTGTACCAGTTCTTCCCCCAGCAACATTGTACTTGATAAATATTAGCAATAGCAAATGCCTTTTCTTCATCCCTTAAACCCTATGCAATTTGTATAGAGATAAGATTGACCTTCGTAGTAAAGGTCATTTTCGATTGATGATCTTACTACAGATAGTAATTAGGATTTGCAAGGGAATGTGCTCTTCGCAAAATAATTTGTAGAACTTAACTGTGGGACTCGTTGTAAGTTGTAACTTTGTTTAACAAGAAAGAAAGCATTATATTTGCTCAAAATAAACGATTTTAGTAGAGAAAATATTTAATATGATGTTTTCTGTTTTTATTTTACAGTGATAATTAACTGATAACAGTGATCTATATCTATCAAGAAATCGAATACAATAGACCAAAACGATAAATTTTTTAGGCATGTGATGTCTATGCATGTGTTGTATATGTCTTCAAGCAGTACTGATTTTTTTCTAGCTAGTATTGACCGTTTCGGGAAAAAAACACCCTTGCCTCCGAATATGTGTCGGCTTAATTTGGATAGTAATTAAGTTTTATTTTACCAATTTAACTTTTTTTTAAGGAAACCGCCAAATTTTATTAAAAACCACAGCCTATAAAGAAACAAGACTAGACAAAGAAAAACAAAAAAACATAGAACAAACAAAATCAGTTACATGATATCAAAAGAGAGCAAACCCAAACAACCTATTTACAATGCTGGTAATCACCCTTATCTTTGATCCAACCAAACACCATAGCGATGACAGTATCCACCAACATCGAAAGAGAAGCACTCAGATTATTAAAAATGTTGTTGTTTCTTACATTCCAAATACACCATAAGAAACCATATAGGATGGCCAACAAAATCTTCCTTTTTTTGGACTATTTCCCCAAGTTGCAGCAAATTGCACAAGCTTAAGCCCCCCAACCGAATTACAATTTTGCCACGGGATACTACACCAATTGAAGATCCACCTTAAGGAACTTACACCTAAGGACAAGTTAGAAAAAAATGATTGGAATACTCGATTCCAACATTGCAAAACTGAGAGAAGATGTTCGAAACAGAAATAGCCCTTCGAGCAAGAGCCATAGCCGAAGGAAGCCTATCAATACAAGCCCTCCAAACAAAGACAATAATTTTCAATGGGACCAACCTTAACCATACAGTCGGATTGGGCATAGGAACAGTAAGCTTAGAATCAATTATGACATGCAAATCATGAATGGAAAAGTTCCCATTAGGAGAGAGCTTTGATTTCCAAATATCGGACTCGTTACTCAAACTCAAAACCATCTCATCTATGCAGCCCCTTAAACCTCTCAATTCGTCGATTTCAATATAGATACTAGGAATTCTCTTCCAAGCCCCGACAAATCTATTGTTCAAGATTCTCTCCTCGATACGGAAGTGACTAATCTTTATGTATATAAATTTTATAAAAAATGTCATTCAAATTAATATATGCTTTAAGATAAATCATCTCTTGAATCATATTTATTATTTGAAACTTTCACATTTTCATTTTATACTAATTAACTATCTTATTAATTGATATATTTTGTCTATATAAGAGATTTTTTTCGGTGTTTGATTACCCATAATGAAAGAAAGAATTTGAAGGACGAAATATATCGAGGAGAACTAAAAGTGGATATGATAATCAAATATTTGAAAGCTTAAAAGACATTTGGATTATTTTCTAGGTTTTAGTTTACATGTATATATTTTTTATTTTACTTTCTTTAGATTTAAAAAAAATATTTATGGTTGTATATTTGGAGCCAAAAAAAGATATATTTTAAGATAAATCATTTTTCTTAAACCATATTTATTTGAAACTCTCACATTTCCGTTTTATACTAATTAACTACCTTATTAATTGACATATTGTGTGTATATAAGAGGTTTTATTTTATGTTTGCTTACCCATATTAAAAGAAAAGGAGTTTAAAAGATGAAATATAATAAGGAGAACTAAATATGGATATTAGGTTTCAGTTTACATTTATATATTTTTCATTCTACTTTCTTTAGATTTCAAGAAAAAATATTTATGGTTGTATATTTGGAGCCAAAAAAGATAACTATAAAATTTATTTGTTATGATTAGTTGAATATGTATGCTAAAAAAATGCATATTAAATTTATTTGTGACAATATATTAGTTGAAGATGTATGCTTTTAATTGTCAAATTTCTATATGATTAAAAGATTTTTACAACGTAATGAGTTGCACAATTTCAATGTAAAAAAGCCAAAAAAAAAAAAAAAAAAAAAAAAAAAAAAAAAAAAAAAAAAA